CTGATGCTGCCTGGCCTGCTGTGTTTGTCTAGCTCTACACCTTGTTGGCTCATCTTCTGTATTTTGTTTTGAAATGCAAAATTATTGTGTCGTACAATTCTTCAGCTTTAATTTTGATGCAGTGGTTGTAAGGTACGTAATTATATTAAACACGTTTCCATGGTGCTAGATACACCAAGCCTCGCATTTCACTCAGATGCATATTTTTGTTCAGCAGACTTTTGTCTGAAATCAGCCAAACAAACACATAAAAGGAATTTTAACCATAAATTATGTCCAGGGCAAAATGTGGCTCAATGATCTTTTGCACTAGTTTTAAAAGAAAAATTGCACGACAAGCTCACCAAGCCTCTTGATAAAATTAATCTGTTGGGTGATTCTGCTAATTATGTACATTTGTAGAAAATGCAGGGACACCAGTAGGCATGTTTTAAAAGCTTTTGAATCTATGTCTCTCAATATACTAGGAAACCAACTATTGTACATCAATACAATTACTGAAAGGAAAGTAATTTTTGCTAATTTACAATCAGATTATTCACACAGTGTTAATTAGAGGCTCTGCCTTTGAATAAGTTTTTTTTGTGGCAGCCATGTTTTTGGTTGTATTAGTTAAACTTCACCAAATCTCTACCAATAAATAATTAAAACAAAAAAAATACCCTGGAAAGCTTCTTCATCCAGTTGTTGAAGTAGGTTGTCATTTACTTTTAGTTCGACAAGTTTTCGAGGGAGTTGAGGAGGAATCTGGATCAACAAATTTTGATCCATGTATAGGCGTTCCAGTTTTTTTAATCCCTGAAACAGAAGCATGCCTACTATTTTGAAATGAACAACTTTTTACAATTTAAATAAAACATAGATATTGTTATTACACATACTATATTTCATGGGATTCAATAGAAGACATAAAAAGAATTGTTAATGTTTCAACCAAAATTTATGTAATCAATCGTTATGCTTTGAAATACTGGACTCTGAATTCATCATGAATCACTTCAAATATTTTGCCATTTATTGGATAATGCAGGTTTTAGCTTTTTTATATTCACTCATGATATGTGGGCATTGCTGGCTATCCAACATTTGTTGCCCATCCGTGGTGTCCTTGGGAAGGTGGTGGTGAGCTGTCTTTTTAAACTGCTGCAGTCCACATGCTGTAATTTGACCCACAATGCCCTCAGGGAGCGAATTCCAGGGTTTTGACCCAGTGCCAGTGAAGAAATGGTGATATATTTCCAAGTCAGAATGGTGAGCGGCTTGGAGGAGAACTTGCAAGTGGTGGTGTTCCCACATATCTGCTGCCCTTAACTTTCTAGATGGAAGTGGTCATGGGTTTGGAAGGTGCTGTTTAAGGATCTTTGGTGAATTTCTGTAATGCATCTTGTAGGTAGTACACACTGCCACTACTGAATGTTGGAGTGGAGGGAGTGGATGCTTGGATCTGGTGCCAGTCAGGCAGGCTGCTTTGTCTTGGATGGTGTTAAGCTTCTTGAGTGTTGTTGAAGCATCCATTCAGGCAAGTGAGGAGTATTCTATCACATTCCTCACATGTGCCTTGCAGATGGTGGGCAGGCTCTGGGGAGTCAGGAGGTGAATTACTTGCTGCAGTATTCCTAGTCTTTGACCTGTTCCTGTAGTCACTATGTTTATGTGACAAATGCAGTTTGAGTTTGTGGTCAATGGTAACCCTGAGGATGTTGATAGTTAAGGATTCAGTGATGATAACACCATTGGCTGTCAAGGGACGGTGATCAGATTGTCTCTCATTGGAGATGGTCATTGCCTGGTACTTACGTGGCACGAATGTTACTCGCCACTTGTCAGCCCAAAAATGGATATTGTCCAGATCTTACCGCACTTGAACATGATCTGCTTCACAATCTGAGGAGTCATGAATCATGTTGAACATTGTGCAATCATTGGCAAACTTCCCCACTTCTGACCTTATGATGGAGGGAAGGTCATTGATGAAGCTGCTGAGGATGTTTGTGCCTACAACACTATTCTGAGGAGTTCCTGCAGAGATGTCCTGGAGCTGAGATGACTGACCTCCAATAACCACAGTCATCTTCCTATGTGCCATGAATGACTCCAACCAGTGGAGAGTTTGCCCTCTCATACCCATTGATTTAAGTTTTGGTAAGGCACCTTAATGCTACACTCAGTTGAATGTGGCCTTGATGTCAAAAACTGTCAGTCTCACCTCACTTCTAGAATTCTAGAAGGTCTTTTGACAATGTTTGAATCAAGTCTGTAATGAGGTCAGGAGGGTTGAGTGGCCTTGGCAGAACCCAAAGTGGACATCATAGAGCAAGTTGTTGCTGAGCAAATGCTGCTTGATAGCACTGTTGATGACACCTTCCATCACTTTTTTAATATTCGGGAGTAGACTGATGGGCTGGTAATTGGCCGGGTTAGATTTGTCCTGCTTTTTTGTGTACAGGACATACCTGGATAATTTTCCACATTGTCATGTAGATGCCAGTGTTATAACTGTACTGGAACATCTTGGCTAGGTGAGCAGCAAGTTCTGGAGCACAAGTCTTCAGTACTATTGCAGGAATGTTGTCAGGGCCCATAGTATCCAGTGTCTGCAATCATTTCTTGATATCACATGGAGTGAATCAATTTAGCTGAAGACAGGTATCTGTCATGCTAGGGACAACTGGAGGAGGCCGAGATGGATCATCCACTTGACACTTCAGGCTGAAGATTACTATGAATGCTTCAGCCTTACCTTTGCACTGATGTGTTGGGCTCTTCCATCATTGAGGATGGGGAGATTTGTGGAGCCTTCTCCTCCAATCAGTTGTTGAATTGTCCACCACCATTCACAACTAGATGTAGCAGAGCTGCAGAGCTTAAATCTGATCTGTTGTATGTGGGATTGCTTAGCTCTGCTTATCATTTGCTGCATATGATGTTTGGCATGCAAGTAGTCCTGTTTGGTAGCTTCACCAGGTTGGTACCTCATTTTCAGGTATGCCTGGTGCTGCTCCTGGCATGCTCTCTCGCAATCTCCATTGAACCAGGATTGAGCCCCTGGCTTGATGGTAATAATTGAGTGGGGGATCTGCATGTCACGAGGTTGCACATTGTGCTGGAGTACAATCTGCTACTGTTAATGGCCCACAACATTTCATGGATGCCCAGTCTTGAGTTGCAAATCTGTCGAAATCTGTCCCATTTAGCACAGTGATAATGCCACACAATATGATAGAGGGTATTCTCAAAGTGAAGGTGGGACTTCATCTCCACAAGGACTGTGCGGTGGTCAGTCTTATTTACTGTCATGGACAGATGCATCTGCAGCCAGCAGATAGGTGAGATTGAGATCAAGTATATTATTCCCTCTTGTTGGTTCCCTCACCACTTGCCACAGACCCAACCTAGCAGCTATGTCCTCTTGGACTCACCCAGTTCAATCAGTAGTGTTGCTGAGCCACTCTTGGCAGTGGACATTGAACTCCCCCAGCTAGAGTACATTTTGCAACTTTGCCACCCTCAGTGCTTCCTCCACGTGTTGTTCAACATGAAGGAGTACTGATTCATCAGCCACAGATGGACAGTATGTGGGATTTAATACGAGGTTTCAGGTTGGTACTTGATTAAACTGTGAGAGCGCTCCCAATTTCAGCTCTAGCCCCCCAGATGTTAGTGAGGAGGACGTTACAGGGTTGACAGCACTGTCTCTGCAATTGTCTGTTCCAGTGCCCATGTTGAAGTCAGGTAGTCCGTCAGGTTTCATCTCTTTCTTGAGACTTCGTAGCAATTGATACAAATGAGTGGCTTGCTAGGCCATTTCAGAAGGCAGTTGAGAGTCAACCACATTGCTACGGGCCTGGAGTCATATGTAGGCCAGACCAGCTGAGGGTGGTAGATTTTCTTCCCTGTAGGACATTAGTGAGCCAGATCGGTTTTTCTGACAATTGGCAATGGCTTCTTGATCTTCAATAGATTCTTAATTCCAGATATTTTTTGTAACTAAAATTCTACCATCTGCCGTTGCAGGATTCGAACCCAGAAAATTGGTTGAGTTTCTGGATTAATAGTCTCGTGAAAATAACACTAGGTCATTGCCTCCCTTGTAATGATGCTTACTTTCTGGCATATGTGCCATAAAGATGATAATTTTCGTCTTTCTGTGTTTCAACTGGAGAAACCTGTAGCTCTTCCAACACTGGAGTTCAGACAAGCAGTATAACATCATACAGAATAGTAAAATGATTAAGAAAGGTGATAAAATGTTTATTGTGGGTCCTCATGTGTTTGGATCATGCTGCCAAGGGACAGAATGAGGCTGCAGAAGTATATACTTGAGAGATGCCAAAGGGTCATGGTTTTGTCTGTGAACTGAAGCCATGGCTGTTGACAGTGTAGCTAAATAGCACAGGTAAGAGCGAAAGCGTGTGAGAACAATCCTACTGAACTGGCAACAAAAGCAAAGTTTACCACCACCTGCAGGTTCCCCTCTCAGCCATAGACGATCCTGACATGGAACTATATTGTTGTTCCTTCCCTGTTAGTGGGTCAAAATCCCAGAGCTTCTTCCCAAACTTGTCCGTGGGTGTACCTACACCCCTTGAACTGCAGCAGTTCAAGAAGACAGCTCACTGCCACCTTTAAAAGGGAAATTTACAATAAATATTGGGCCAGCCAACAACATCTTGAATGAATAAAAACGTAAAATAATGTCCCACATTCACCAAGGATAAAATTTGTGACTTTATTTATAGCTATTTTCCATCAGTGGTTGGAAAGAAAACCATTGGAAACATCCAAGTATGGAGTTGTGAGAAAAGTAGACATGGATTTGGGAAATAACATCTTCAAGTGCTTGGGAGGGAATGGAATTAAATTGACGTATAGAGAAGTCAAGGGTGTGTTTTCTCAAGAGTGAGCGATAACAGCAGTTTAATATCAAGGGGCACAGTACCTCAGATGAGAAAAAAATTTTATTGTCATTTAGAATGGTACTAAGCAATAAGGTTAGGAATAGTGTCAAGATGGCAGGAGGTTGACCTCATGGGAAAGACTTCAAAAAAGACAGGAGGATTAACAGATTGAGCGATTAATAAGGCTCAGAGCTAAAGCAGTGGGAGTCTCTTTGAAGGTTGGACTCGGTGCAGAAGAGCACAGGCAGCTAAACAATTAACTGAGTGGCTTTAATTTTCATGATAAAACAATCTGTGAGCTTCTTGGGCTTTTTGATAGTTAGGCTGGAGGACTTTAGACAGAGTAGTTTAAGAAGGTAGTTAATAGTGGACAAAAATAATTATTCTAACCCATGATTTTTATGAAAAGCAGTGGAAAGAAGTGTTAAATACAGTTGGATTTTCCTTAGTGTTCCTCAGTGTGTTGTTTAGCTACTTAACATAGGAATGTAGGAACAGGAGTAGACCATTGAGCCTGTGGAGCCCACTCCGCCATTTAATACCATCATGGCTGATTAAAAGAGCGCCTCTATCAACACTATCCCCATTACCCTTTAAACCAATCTGGATTATCATATGAAAAAAGAGTCAGTTGACCTACTTGCAATCTGTTTGAAAATATATAATTATTGTAAATTTTCATTGCAAAATTGCCTTATATTTCAATTTTACTGTATGGAAAACATCTGTCATTTTATATGCTGTTTTTCACCCTGTATCTCCCCTATGTCTGTAGCTAGATATAATGAACCTTGTTTCAAAAGCAGTTAAACGAAAGCTGCATAAATTCTTTCACGTAGTTAATTTAAAATATTTAATAACAATTCTTTTAAAATGATTTGTAAAACTTACTCTGAATGCTGCTGGGTCAATGTTGGAAGAAAGAATCTTATTTCGACTGAGGTCAATTAGTTTGAGATTAGGAAACCCATTGAATGCCCCTGCTGGAATAGTAGTAATCCTATTATCTGCAAACATGAAAAATTTAGACATTTACTGTAAAATGATTGACCATATGAGACAATTATAGACCATTGTAAATTAATTGCAGCAGCACATTGATTTAACATAGAAGATATTCTTAAAAAGCTGCTCAAAGCCAGTTAGGAATTGTACTGATGAGAAGTTTTTCAGTGACTTGTGCTTAAACAGTAAGGGATTTGCAGCAACTGTAACTAAAAAATATTTCCAAGAATGGACATAGTCAGTCTTAATTTCCTAAGTTGAAATAAATTTTATACTAATGGAAAAATAGAATACTGCGGATGCTGAAAATCTAAAATGGAAACAGAAAACGCTGACGGGAATTTTCAGCAGGTCAAGTGGTACAAGTAGAGAGAAAAACTGAGTTAACATTTCAGATTGATGACCTTTCACGATAGGATAAGTCATACAGTTTTGAGATTGGGTGATTGGGACAAGAACAAAAGAAAGGTCTGCAGTGGGATGGAGGACAAGAGATTGAATGACAAAAGTTAGTGCTACAGGGTTAAAGGGGATTGGGCAAGAAAAGAAGCAAAGGGCTGAAATTTCTCATATTTCAATCGTTTAAATTTGAGGAGTTTCATGGGCGGTTTCCCTCTGTGAGCCCTGGAGACTTCCCTCATACAGTTCTCTGCTGGTCACCTTATTAATTAAGCACCAAGGCTCAGTGGTGCTGCTTGTGAGAAATCTTGCAGAAATCAACAGAGCTGGAAGTGCTCACCAGTGGTGGACCCTTCCAGCTTTTTTGCCATGGGTGCCATATTTATACTCCAGCTATGCACCATTAGTATGTTGCTGTGTAATTCCAAACTTCATGGCTGAGAAAGACCTGAAGGTAAGAAGAGCTATCCTCATTTGCCAGGACTGCCAGAGGAGACCACAAAACCAGATGCTGCCAGCCTGGATCTGAAGTAGCCACTCAGGTCAATGCAGTTTCAATGGTCCAGAGGAACATATGGAACTGTCGCAAAAAGGTTAATGAGCTACTGCATTCCGTAAGGATATGTGCCACCACAAACTCACTTTGATTCCATTGCTGTACACAGCCCCCAGCAAGGCTCAGTGTCTACCACTCTCACAATTCCATGCAGCATCTTCCCTCATTGACTGTCACCCTCCTTGTCTCAATCATCTCCTCTCTCCACCTCCCCCCGCCAAACACACAAACACACACACACACACACACACACACCTCCGGGCATCAGCTCCTCCTCTACCTCTAAGGAAGAAAGAATGATTTATCACAGGATGCAGTGACAAGGCTTTCTGCTGCACCTCCACCAGCTCAGATGCTTTCACCTTGATACGTACTTTAGCTAATTTGACTCGGGAACATGATTTGGTAAGCACATCTCTGCAATGCCTCCTGAGGTGGCTAAGAAAGAAATACCTAAGGTTTCTGGCACTCTGAGGACTGTCAGAGACGAGGCAGCTGCTTGGCCCCAGACAGCAGAGAACCCCATGATAACAGCCACAATAACTTTGTGAAGATGCACAAAATGACACGGAGCCACAGGCAGGTTTGTTGAAGATACTCAGTAAACTCGATCGGAGGTAGGAGGAGTTCATGAACATTATCAGTATCATGATGGGCCTGGCATGTGTATGTCTAGCTGTCTCCATGGGCATGTTAGTGACTGCTGTGGAAAACCAGATCGAGTATCACAGTAAGAGTGATGCTTCTCCCATATAGTTTCCTCATCTTCCTTCTTGGAAGACTCAGAGAACTGTCCCAGCTCTTCAGTGTTCATTACATCCCATTTTGCCTGCTCCAGTTTTGCACAGCACAGTATGCTAGGATTATGCAGTACACTGTCTGGTGTGTACTGCAAAACCACACCTCTCCCAGCCCATCTGATCTTCATCTTGAGGATGTCTGTCAACCTGCTGTACAACGGCCCCGAAGGAAGAATGAATTAGATTATATCTATTCTCACTCCCAGTCAGGGAGCCTGATAATGCAGTCAACATCCATGGTTAAAGTGATTAGCCCTCGTCTCGTAGCTGCCATCCTGGCGAGGCTTCCAGCCCTTGGACTGAAGCAGGCAACTGAAAGTTTATCAACAATTTAGGCATTATGGCAGCTTCCAGTGATCCTGCTACAGACTACTCAGATATGGTGGTAATGATCACAGGTGAATTGGACATTGACTGAATGGAACCCTTTTCTGTTCATGAATTCAAATACATTATGATAAATCTGAATGCATTGTATGTAAAATCTAAAGTGCCTTGTGCTAGATATCTTATCAAAGCCTTGTGCCCAAGCTGTAGCACTGATTTTGTCACAGGAAAATGAGATAAAACGGCGTGATCTTGCACAAATTGCATCGATAACAGTCCTGATATGATTCAGGGTTGAAAGATCCCACAAAATCCCCAGTGGATCCTTAGAAGCAACCAGATACATAGAAATTTAGTACTGCTGTCATTTTGACAGCCACCAGGATTTGATAGCGACCTACTCTTCAGATTGCAAACCTGCTCCAGCAGATGCCACAGTTCTGTGAGGGTGTCTCGGAACCACCTTATTCAGTGGCAGCAATGCGCTTTGCTCATCTGGAGGAAATGACAACAAATTGGTACACTCTTAGCTTGCAGTGTTAACACCTACTGTAGATGAATCCATTGGGATGGTTCTAATGAACATTTGTAGGGAATATCAGAAACAAATCAGCTCCTTAATAGTGCAACTTGTCAGCAGTCGCAGCAATCAAATGAGACTTTGCCATAGGCCTCAGTACAGTATGACATGGACGTCACTAAGAAGAAGGATGCCTCCACAGGGTCCACTGACATATTAGGTCTTTTTCACATACATGCAACATATGTTTTATTGCACAATTGCAGTATGATTATGGAAATCTTGTTTTCCCTCCCACATCCACCACTTACCTAAGAAATGCAGCATTTCATAGAAAAGCGCATTCTCACATTCTTACAGCTCAATGTGAGAGGAAAGCACTGTGCAGATTATGAGACCACTGGATAATGTTTGGAAATGCACAACTAGAGATGACACTTTTAAAGGTTGAATATGATCATTTTTTGCTTCAGAGAATAGTCGAATTAATTTGTTATTATCAAAGATTGCTTGTTGCCAGGATTTCTAATATATGTGGTTGGTGTACATAAAGAATTTTGTGATAGAAGATGTTTATTATTTCGAAGCTGAGTGCCTGATTAATGCAGTTGGCCCTTGAAGTGCATCATATCATGCACTGGTGGTATCATCGTCTTAACGAAAGCAAAATAAAACCTTAACTTCACACACTTTTTGAGTATGCTGGCAGCTATATCTATTGCACCGTTGAGATTTGGTTGAAGACGGAAGGCTTCCTAGATTGTGCTTAAGACAGAAAGTGGCAAGCTCTGCCTGATATTCTAGGAGCCCCCCACAACATTCATGTCCAATCTGCATTATAGTCCTTGTCAACTCCATCAGCTTGGAGCCTGCCCACGTTCCCATCCAACTCTTTTATTTAGCTATTAATATCCCCAACTTTCTTGCTGTGTCCCAGGCCTACCACAAAGCTACAGTCAACATCATTATCCAATGAACCCCGACACTGATGCCAGAATCATGGTGACCACCTAAGTGCTGTGCACTTCCATGCTGTATTGGCTCCATACTATATTTATAGATTTGCCTCCTCCACAGTGATTGTCTTCTCTGCATTTCAGTGTACAGGCACTAGTTCTGACACTGACTTCCCAACACTGGGCTGCACTGATAACCTCCTTTAATGTATAGAGCCTAAACACCGAGGACTGACCATGGCCAACCCACCAGATCAATTTGGGAGAATAGTCTTGATTGAGGATGCACCAGCACTCAGAGTGATTTCTGTGCGGTTCCCTGACTGACTAATCGGTAATCCTGGATTGGTTGGATGTGGATCTTTGGACCCTGAATGCACCAAGCATTTGAATGACTATGACCAGCACTCTGTGCAATACAACAATGCCGTTGACTGAGTGCAAAAGCACATCCTGACTGACCATTGCCCCCCTTGTCTGGACTAAGGACTACTTCCTGTATATTTTCAGACATTAGCAATTTCTTGAAGCACATGCAGTGTGTTTGTTGTGTGTGTGACATCGATGTAGCATAGTGCTGTACAGCAACATGTCCACCCACTGGTCTGTTCAATGCCAACAAACATGACAAGCTGCCTGGCTTTCTGTCTGTGCTAAGAGGCTAGGCAAGGCAGAGATGCTGTAAGCATCCAAATAAACTTAGAAACTAGGAGTAGGTCACTCAGCCCCTTTAGCCTACCCCACAACCCAACAGGACCATGGCTGATCCTCTATCTCAATATGGTATTCCCACTTTCTCCTCATACCATTTGATGCCTTTAAAATTTAGGAATTCATCTGACTTTTTCTTGAATATATTCAGTGATTTGGCTTTCATAGCCTTCTGGAGTAGAGATTTCCACAGTTTCACCACCTTTTGAATGAACAAATATTTCCTCACTCGAGTCCTCAATGGGATACCCTGTATCCTGGGACTGCATCATTTGATTCTAGGCTCCCCAAATGAGGAAATAATCTTCCCAGCATCTATTCTGTCCAGTCCTGTTAGAATTTTATATGTTTCAATCAGATCCCCTTTCATCCTTCTAAACTCTAGCGAATACAGGCCCAATCGAATTGACCTCTCCTTGGTGGACAGTCACTCCCTCAGTAGCAAGTACATCCTTCCTTACGTGGGAAGACCAAAACTGCAGCAGTATTCCAATCATGGTCACATCCTGTACAACTATGGTATTCTACTTCTGAACTCGAATCATCTTGCAATGAAGGCCAATATACCATTTGCTTTCCTAAGTGTTTGCTGCACCTGCCTATCTGATTTCATGGACAATGACACCTAGATCATTTTTGTATTCACTTTTCCCAATTTAAATAATTTACTGCTCTTCTGTTTTCACACCAAAGATGTGCAACTTCACGTTTCGCCACACTGTACTGCCTCTGCTATGTGTTTTCCCACTCACTCAACTCGTCTAAATCATCTGAAGCCACCTTGTCTCCTCCTCAGAACTTTCAATCCTTCCAATTTTGTTGTCATCAGCGAACTTGAAAGTGTTGTATTTCATTCCCTCATCCAGATCATATATATGTATTTTAACTAGGGCCCGAGCCCTGATTCTTGCATTAATCCACTACTTACTTTCTGTCACTAAGAGCTATTTCATCCCACTCTCTGTTTCCTGCCTATCAACCAATTCTTGATCTGTGCTAATATTATCTACTATCCCATATACTTTAAGATTTCCCACTAACCTCTTATGAGAGACCTCATCAAAATCCAAAAATACCACATCTACTGGTTCTCCCTTGTCTACTCTACTAGTTATTATCCTCAAAAATCTCCAAAAGATTTGTTAAGCATGATTGATCTTGCACAAACCCAGACTTGCTTTGTCCAATCCTGTTAATATTTTCCAAACAATCTATACTGTATTTGCAACATTTTCCTCAATACTGATGTTGGGCTAACTGGGCTGTATTTCTCTCCGTTTTTAAATAGTGGAGTTACATTTGTCAATCTGTAAGTACTACTCCAGAACGGAATTTTGAAAGATGACCACCAATGATTCCCTCAACCTGCCAGTTTTTCCCTTCACCCTAACAGGGACATATCGTCCCTGGACTCTTGATATCACACTTTTAAAAGCCTCCCATTTGCCAGTCATTCCTTTTCTTTCAAACAGACTCACCCAATCTACCTCTGCTAGATCCTGCCTAATGGCCCCAAATTGGCCCTGCTCCAGTTCAGCACCTTAACCTGTGGACTGTGTCCTATCTTTTTCCATAACTGTGTTAAAGCTAAGAGAGTTATGGTCACTGGACCCGAAGTGCTCTCCGACTGACACTTCAGTCACTTGCCTGATCTCGTTTCCTAAGAGGAGGTCCAGTTTCCACCCTCCTGAGCATGGCCCTCTACGTATTGATTTAGGAAACATTGGACACATTTGACAAATTCCACCCCATCCGGACCATTTACACTCTTGGTAGCCCAGTCAATACAAGAGAAATTAAAATCTCCAACCAGTACTATTCTATTAATCCCACAGGTATCTGCAATCTCTCTACACAGCTGTTCCTCTAATACCCACTGGCTATTTAGGGGTCTATAATACAGTCCCAACAGAGTGACCATTCCTGTCTTGTTTCTAACCATATGACCTCATTTGATGACCCCTTAAGAATATCCTTTCTAAGTGCTGTTGTTATGTCCTCCCTTATCAAAAGAGCAACTCCCCCTCCTCGCTTATTTGTACTTCTGTCACACCTGCAGTTTCTGTATTCTGGAACATTGAACTGCCAGTCCTACTGTTCTCTCATTGTAGACAAACAGGAGGCTGGAAGAACACAGCAGGTCAGGCAGCATCTGGAGGAAAGGAACAGTCAACATTTTGGGTATTCAGTCCTGGTCACACTAGCAAACTTCCCCGTAAGGATATTGGACCCCCTCTGGTTCAAGTGCCATTTGTTATGTGTTATTTACATAAACGATCTGGATGCTATGTACAAGGCATGATTAACAAGTTTATGGATGAGGGATGATACAAAATTAGGAGGTATTGTTGATAGTGAGGAAGGTTATTAAAAATTACAGAGGAATCTTGATCAGATGGGGAAGTGGGCTGAGGATTAGCAACTGCAATTCAATACAGATAAGTGTGAGATGTTGCACTTTGGGAAGTCAAATCAAGGTCGGACTTGTACAGTAAATGGTAAGGTCCTGAGGAGTGTTATGGAACAGAGGGACTGAGGAGTAAAAGTATATAGTTCATTGAAAGCGGTGTCACAGGTAGACAGGGTGGTAAAGAAGGCATTTAGCATGCTAGCCTTCATCGGTCAAAGCATTTAGTAGAAGAGTTGGGATGTTATGTTACAGTTGTGTAAGTCGTTGATGAGGCCGCACTTGGAGTATTGTGTACAGTTTTGGTCACCGTTTAACAGGAAAGACATAGTCAAACTGGAAAGTGTGCAAAGAAGATTTACGAGGATGTTGCCAGGACTAGTGGGCCTGAGTTATAAGGAGAGGTTGGCCAGGATAGGACTTTATTCCTTGGAACGGAGGGGAATGAAGGGTGACTTTATTGAGGTGTATAACATCATGAGGAGCACAGATAGAATGCATTTAGTCTTTTCCCAGGGATGGGGAATTGAAAACTAGAGGGCATAGGTCTAAGATGAGAGGGCAAAGATTTAAGAAGGACCTGAGGGGCAACTTCTTCACGCAGGGAATGGTGCGTATATGGAATGGGCTGCCAGAGAAAGTGGTTGAGGCAGGTACAATAGCAACATTTAAAAAAACATTTGGATTGGTACATAGATGGGAAGGGTTTAGAGGGATATGGACCAAACGCAGGCAATTGGATCTAGCTGAGTGGGCACCTTGGTCAGCATGGACCAAGTTGGGCCGAAGGGCCTGTTTCCATGCTGTATTACTCTATGACTCGAGAAATAGGAACGAGAGTAGGCTGTTCAGCCCCCCAAGCCTGCTCCACTGTTCAATAACATCATGGCTGATCTGACATTCGTCATGTCCATTTTCCTGCCCTTTCCCCGTAACCCTTGATTCCCCTATCGGTCAAGAATCTATCTATCTCAGCCTTAAATATACACAAGGGCTCTGCCCCCAGCAGCTCTCTATGGCAAGAAATTGCAAAGAGTCCCAGTAATCTGAGAGAAGAAATTTGTCCTCACCTCAGTCTAAAATTGCCAATGGTTTGCCCACTTACTTAATCTATCAGTCTATCCCCTCCATGAATTGTTTGTATCCCTCTCGCAACTTGCCTTTCCATTTATTTTCGTGCTGTCTGCAAATTTGGCTACAGTATATTTGTTTCCTTCCTCCAAGTCATTAGTATATATTGTAAACAGCTGCAATCCCAGCTGTGATCCCTGTGGAAGCCCACTGGTTAGAACCTGAAAAGAACCCCTAATCTCCTCTTGCTATTTCTTGCACCATGAACTTTTTCTCTATCCATGCCAATATACTACCTCCAACACCATGGGCTCATATTTTATGTAACGTGTAATTTTATACTAATGGCTTTCTTCAATACTTTTCAATCACTTTTTCCATTCGATTTTGCATTTTCTCCCCGTTTTGTCCATTCTGTACCATAGATCATTCCTCATCTAAGAACATTGCAAACAAACACGCTCCCATGCATCTGCTAGTAAGAAGTAGAAATGACAGTTAGCCAAACTGGCAGCTTTTATATTTGTTAATTTGTGCCTGATAGTATGTTTAAGATGAAGGCTTTCCTGTCTGAAGAATCAGAGCCATGAATCTGTATTCTACTCCGAGTCTAGTATTTCAATGTATGACTTTACTGCATCAATCTGACATTTTGGTATTACTGTTTACAAGAAAAAAAACATAAAGGAATATGCTGTTTTCTCTAGTTTTATCAATCAGTTACTTTAAATCATAGAATCATAGAATCACAACAGTGTGGAAACAGGCCATTCGGCCCACACGTTCACACCGCCCCTCCAAAGAACATCCTACCCAGACCCATTCCCCTACCGCTGCATTTTTCGATGTCTAACCCACCTAACCTAAACATCCCTGGGCACTATGGGCAATTTAGCATGGCCAATCCACCTACCCTGCACATCTTTGGATTGTGGGAGGAAACTGGAGACCCACGTAGACACAGGGAGAATGTGCAAACTCCACACAGTCGCCTGAGGGTGGAATTCCTGGCGCAGTGAGGCAGCAGTGCTAACCACTGAGCCACAGTGCAGTTGGCAGTCCTTTCAACAACTTGTTTATTCATATCAGCTTAAGTACAAATGTAAAGTGAGAAATAGTGTGCACTTGTTATTCAAAATGGCATAATTCAATGAATTGGCAAATTAATACTTTAGCACTAAATTCTTAGTTTGTTATTCTATTTACCTTGCTTATTCCAAATTATACGTAATTTACTTTTACTGCAGTGCAATGACACAGAATTATCACAATAGTGCTTTCAATGACACCTGATCTGCCAAAATCAGATGGAAAGTTGCGTGAAAATCCACATGGGATAGCTGCAACATTTAATGATAAGAACTATACAGGAGTTCTCTTTTTAATACAGATGTTAATAGGTTAATACAATTTTTTGACTGCACTTGTACGTGAACCTGGGGATACTTATACCAATCAGGATTAATGTTAGCAGATGTCTTACGTTCCTTTGTCAAAGTACCTTGATTCCTTCTCAGTATCTTGAAGGTATCCCAAGTGAAACAGCATTAATGGCAGACCTAGTAGCCATAGTTATAAACGCGATTGACATAAGAAGTTCTAATGAATATTTACCATTCTATTTCTTTCCTTTTTTGACGGGTCGGAAATGATTTAAGCAATTCCATTTTCTCAAATTAAATAATTATTGTTAAAATGTAATACATAGGTAAGAAATGGTTGATTACCTGCAAGATAAAGATTTGTAATCTCCAGATCACTGAGTGGAGGTATTTGAATCAACTTGGCATTATTGCAATTTATTGTGATATCTGTGGTCTCGCAGCCAACTGGAAGAGAAAATTCTGGGGGTTCTTCACCAGAATGAACTGGAATTGATTCAAATATGGAAGGAAATAAAGACAACTCAAAAACATCTGCGTAGCCATTTTCTTCCTCTTCCTCAAACGCCTCTTCTGCCTCCCCTTGCTTTTCCTCTTGTTCCTCATCTTGCTCCTCTGCTTCATCCACTACTGCTTCCTCTTCCGCCACCTCCTGCACCACGTCCTCATTCTCCATTATCTCTTCTTCCTTGTATACCTCCAGTTGCTCCTCCATCGCCTCTTTTACCTTCTCTTTCTTGCCCTTCTCCTCCTCCTCTTGTTCCTTCACTTGCTGCTCTTCTTCCTCCTCCTCTTGTTCCTTCACTTGCTTCTCCTCTTCCTCCTCCTCTTGTTCCTTCACTTGCCGCTCTTCTTCCTCCTCCTCTTGTTCCTTCAATTGCTTCTCCTCTTCCTCCTCTTGGTGATCGTTATATTCAACATATTCAACATAATCAACATATCCATCATAATTATTCTCTTGTTCTTCTCCCCCTTGTATAGTTTTTGAGAGATTTCTCATTTCATTTACAAGTTCTGGATTTTCTTCCTTTTCTTTACTCCTCTGAACTACTTCATGTAAATGTTCCTGTTCCTCTGCCTGCAGTTTTTGAAGTTCTTCCTCTTCCATTTCTCGTAGCTTTTCTTCTCTATGATAGGATTTTCCAAGTTCCCTTTGTTCTTCTTCGTCATTTTTCTTTTTCTCTTCACGCTTTCTTTTCAGTTCCTCATCTTTTCTGGGCAGCTCTTCTTCTAATTTCTGGTTTTCTCTCCTTAGTTCTGATTGTTTTATTTGCATAGCTTGATTACCAGGAATCACTGGATGATAAATTTCACTTGGATCATTTGGCTCTGTAGAATCACCATAAAAATTTAAGACTGTTAACTGAACATTGAATAATCAAATGTGGGGATCAAAATCACTAATGAAATGGGAAAGGAAGCATGGAATCTAGTCATAATTCATGAAATTCCAGTAAATAATAAACCAAAATAAATAAACCAAAATGACTAACAAAGGGAAACTTTTTGAAATTGTTTCAGTGGATTCATGCTTGAAGAATATTTTTCTTGGGTTTACTGATAAAATGAATGACTAATGTGCACCGTTTTTCTGTACTTTCTTAACTGTGTTATTTGTCTTATAGCTATTTCTATCTATAATAAAATAATAGCCAGGATACGTGAACAGGAAATAAAATTATAACCTAATCAAAGAGCTTAGGTGATTTCAATAGGATAAAAATAAGGAATATAAACGTCAAAACTAAATTCCAGTATTACTATTCAGCATAAATTTTTATTTCAGATGGTCATGTTCATAAAGTATGTGCAAGCCTCACTGATTGTTGTCTTTAAGCAGCTGATATAGTGTTCTTGTTGGAGAAGAATGTAATAATTTAGCCCACCGTAGGTTTAATACAGAAATCATGGTGCAGCTTAAAGTGAAAGAGCTACAAAGCACTTAAAGCAGTATATTGTTTATTGTTTTTTTTTTGAAACAATAAAAGTATATTTAGCAAATATTGAATTTAGCTATGGAACGTTGAGTTGCAAATACCCAATTGAGCTTTTGAGATACAAAAATGGTTCTTTATATTTTGCAGTGTGCACTTAATTCATCGTTTCATGTGTCAGTTGCTAATGGAAAACATCTTTTTCTGAGCAAGTATTTAAATTTTCCTCAATTATTTTGCAACAATCTTTGAAATAGCCGTGTTAAATGGTTCACTAATATTATGTTTCAATGGTAAGTATTTTTATTCAAAGCATTTTGTTTAGAAGTATGAGCATGTACCTAAAACCACCCTGTGTCAATAAACAATTTGCGTAATTATTTTTCATTTTGATTAAATAACTGAATAAAATTGGCTGAATAAAAGAAAGAGAAAATACCAATTGAAATGCAAATTGGACAGCATTCTCCTGTTGGTATTCTGGTCCTCGTACATTTTAAGATGGGGCAGTTCATTTCATCACAGATCACGTTTCCATTTGAACACAGACAGGTCACACAAGGTTTTGGAGACCAAACTGCCTTGTCATACATGATCATTCCATTTGCTTTGCAACGTCCTTGTCTACCTAATGATGTGAATTTTTTTAAAAAAGGAAGATATTGCATTATTCAAAGCTGTAATATGGCACATAATTCTTAAACACTTCAGCATGGGAACACTGAATAATTCAGTGATCCCTGGAATTGATAGTTATCCCAGTTAACATCTGTGTTGGCAAGAATGTAATGTAACCTACATTGAGAGTGTCTTAAAATGGTAGTTTTGGTTTTAGTAGTATACCATAACAATCTGAATGAGGTGAAATGGAATGATAATTTGTGTCTCAATAACATTCTCTTGCTTTTTATTAGAAAGTATGTGAAATAACCAGTAGACAACAGTATGGAGCTGGAGGAACACAGCAGGTCATGCAGCATCAGAGGAGCAGGAAAATTGACGTTTCGGGTCGGGACCTTTCTTCAGAAATGGGGAGGGGGAAGGGAGCTGGGATGGTGATAGGTGTGTGCAGGTAGGGAGTAGTGGGGATTGGTCAGTGGGATGGCTGGGGTGGATAGGTGGGAGAGAAGATGGACAGGTTGTGTCAGGTCAAGGAGGCGGGGATGAGAGGGAGGGTTGGACATGGGATGAGGCCAGGGTGGGGAGATTTTAAAACTGGTGAATTCCATGTTTAGACCATTGGGCTGTAGGCTCCCGAGGTGGAATATGAGGTGTTGCTCCTCTAGTTTGCGGGTGGTGTCATTGTGACACTGGAGGAGGCCCAGGATGGACATGTCACCCAGGGAGTTAAAATGGTTGGCGACCAGAAGGTGTTGTTGTTTGTTGCATGCAGAGTGCAGATGCTCTATCAAATGGCCTCCGAGTCTCCGCTTGGTCTCACTGATGTAGAGGAGGCCTCATCGGGAGCAGTGGATACAGTAGACCAAGTTGACAGATGTGCAGGTAAATCCCTGTTTGTTTTGTGCCTTGAATAGAGATGAGGGGGGAGGTGTAGGGGCAGGTGTAGCACTTCCTGTGGCTGCAGGGAAAGGTGCCGGGGGTGGTGGGGCTGGTGGGGAGTGTGGAGCAGACAAGGGAGTTGCGGAGAGAGCGGTCCCTACAAAAGGCAAGTAGGAGTCGGGAGGGAGATATCTCTTTGGTTGTGGGGTCCGATTGTAGGTGGCAGAAGTGGTGAAGAATGATACGTTGGATGCGGAGGTCAGTGGGGTGATATGTGAGGACAGGGGAATCCTGTCTTCATTTTTGTTGGGGGAGGGGTGTGAGGGCAGAAGTGCAGGAAATGCAAGAGATGTGGTTGGGGGCATTTTTGATCACTGGAGGGGGAAGTTACGGTGCTTGAAATAGGCGGACATCTGGGATGTGCGGAAGTGGAACGCCCCATCTTGGGAACAGATATGCAGAGGCGGAGGAATTGGGAGTATGGGATCGTATTCTTGCAGGAAGGTGGGTGAGTCCAGATAGCTGTGGCAGTTGGTGGGCTTGAAATAGATGTCAGTTTCGAGGGGTCACCAGAGATGTAGATGGAGAGGGAGGTGTCAGAGATGGTCCAGATGAATTTGAGGTTGGAGAGAAAGATGTTAGTAAAGTTGATGAACTGTTCAAGCTCCTCGTGGAAGCACAAGGCAGCGCCGATACAGTCATCGATGTAGCGGAGGAAGAGGTGAGGGATAGTGCCAGTGTAGCTGCGGAAGAGGGACTGTTCCACGTATCCTACGAAGAGGCAGGCATAGCTTGGGCCCATGCAGGTGCCCAAGGCCACCCCCTCAGTCTGTAGGAAGTGGGAGGAGTTAAAGGAGAGTAGGGATGAGTTTTGTCAAACAGATGAGGGTGTCGGTGGAGGGGGACTCGTTGGGCCTGTGGGAGAGGAAGAAGCAGAGGGCTTTTAGGCCATCTGCATGGAGGATACAAGTGTACAAGGAAAAAAAAAACAATAGCTGATTTTTTAAAATGTTCATGTTTGAGGTTGACTTTCCATCAGAACATAGTTCCGAGGTTCTATTTCAAAAACAGTCTCTCCTAAAGCTACTCAAATGTTTTCACTGGTGGGAGCATCTTGGACTAAGGGACATAGTTACAGAATATGAAGACATGCATTTAAAACTGAGATGTGACAGAATTTCTTCTCCCAGATGGTGGTGAATGTCTGGAATTCTCTACCCAAAAGAGTTGTGGAGACAAGTTTGTGTTTCAGTCTGTAGTGTTTTGTTTCTCTTTTTCTTAAAAATGGCTTGTCAGGTATAAGAATATAAGGAACAAGAGCAAAGGTAGGACATTCATCCCCCTTCAAGCCTGCCCTATCACTCTGAGGTGGTGCTAATCTGTGCCAAGACTTAACTCCTCTTTAGTACCAGATCCTTAGCTCTCAAATTCTCAACATTTCAAATATCTATCTACATTTTAAATGCTTTCAGTGGTCAGAATCTTGCATTCTTCAATAAGATCTTTCCTCATCCTTCTAAAGTCCATTAAATAAAGGCCTAATCTGATTAGCCATTCTTTTTAAGTCAACCCTTTCATCCCAGGAATCAGCTATCTGAACTCTTCCAGTGCTAACATATCCTTTCTTAAATTCGTTGATCAAAACTCCAGGATCTGGCGATCAAAAATCAGGCAGGTTTAATAAATGATCTAAAAATAAAAGATTTCCTAGAGAGCAATGATCAAAACATGGTAGAATTAAGCATTGAGCTTGAAAACAAGGTCGAAAACAACAGTGCTGAACTTAAGTGAGGATATTGACAAAGGAATGAGTTGGGAACAGAGTTTAGGAGAAAAAACAGTTAATGAACAATGGCATACATTTAAGAAAATAGTTCATGACCCAAAACAAAGAAATATCACAGTGAGAAACAAGGATTCTATAAAGGGTGTAAGCTGATCATGGTTAACCAAACAAGTTAGGAATGGTATCAATTAAAAAGTAAAAGCATACAATTTGACAAAGATTTGTGGTAAAGCAAAGGATTAGGAAAGTTTTAAAAATCAATAAAAGATGACCAAAAAATTAATAAAGAGGAAGAAAATAAACTATGAAGATAAACTAGTAAGTAATATAAAAATTGTCAGAAAGAGCTTAGAGTCATAGCATTATACAGCATGGAAACGGACCCTTCAGTCCAACTCGTCTGTGCTGACCAGATATCCTAAACTGATCTAGTCCCATTTGCCAGTATTTGGCCCTTATCCCTCTAAACCTTTCTTATTCGTATACCCAGCCAGATGATTTTTAAATGTTGTAATTTTACCCACTTCCACCACCCCCTCTGGCAGCTCATTCCATACATGCAGCACCCTCTGCATGAAAAAGTTGCCACTCAGCTCCCTTTTAAATCTTTCCCCTCTCACCTTAAACCTATTTCCTCTAGTTTTGGACTCCCTCACCTTGGGAAAAAGACCTTGGCTATTCACCCTGTCCCTCATGATTTTATAAATCTCTATAAGGTAACCTCTCAACCTCCGACACTCTAGGGAAAGTAACCCCATCCTATTCACCCTATAGGTCAAACCCTCAAGTCCCGGCAATATCCTTGTAAATCCTCTCTGACCCCTTTCAAGTTTAACAACATCTTTCCTGTAGCAGGGAGACCAGAACTGAAGGCACTATTGTAAAATTGGCCTCAGCAATATCCTATACAACTGCAACATGACTTCCCATCTCATATACTCAATGAAGGCAAGTCTGCAAAATGCCTTCTTTACTACCCTGTCTACTTCTGACTCTACTTTCACGGAACTATACACCTGCACCCCTAGGTCTCTTTGTTTAGCAACTCACTTCAGGGCCCAGTCATTAACTGTGTAAGTTCTGCCCTGGTTTGCCTTACCTAAATACGACAATGTATCTAATTTAAACTGCATCTGCCACTCCTTGACCCATTGCGCCATCTGATCAAGATCTCGTTGTACTCTGAGATAAGCTTCTCCATTGTCCCCTAACCACCAATTTTGGTGACATCTGCAAACTTGCTAACGATACCTCCTATATTCATATCCAAATCATTTACGTAAGTGACCCAGCACACTGCTGGTCACAGGCCTTCAGTCTGAACAACAACCCCCTGCCACCACCCTCTGTCTTCTACCTTCAAGCCAGTTTTGTATCCAGTTAGCTTATTTAAATATGCAAGATAGAGGCCAATGTATAAAGAGAAAGACCTGAGTAAACTTGGGCCCTTAGAGAATGAGGCTGAAGAAATGGGAGAAGATTTGAATAAATACTTTGCATTATTCTTCATGACAGGGGACATTAATTGTATTCCAAAAATAATCAAGAGGCAAAAGGAGGAAAGGAAATACATTTTAAAAAGTCACAAAAGAAAAAGGACCGGCAAAGTAATGGGACTAAAGGCCAAAAGTCCTCCAAACTTGATGGGTTGTATCCTAAGATTTTTAAGGAAGTAGCTATGGAGGTAGTAGATGCACTGCAAGTAGTCTTTTAAGAATCTTAGATTCTGAAAAAGTCCCAGAGGACTGAGAAACTGCCAATGTTATGCCCTTATTCAAAAAGGGAGACAAAAAAATTGGTAATTATAAGCCAGTTACTGTCACTGGGAAAATGTCAGAAACTATTAAAAAGGATGTTAAAAAAATGCATCTGGTTCAGTACTGTCCTTCCGGAAAGAAAATCTGTTGCACATTTGACTCCAGACCCACAGCAATGTGGTTGCTTCTTAAATGTCCTTGGGCAATTGAGGAATGAACATTAAATGCTGGCCTTGCCAGTGACACCCAAATCCCACGAATGAATAAAAAGTATTAAAAATAATATAATCAAGTAGAGTCAGCATGGATTCATGAAAGGAAAATCATGCCTGACAAATTTATTAGAATTCTTTGAGGAAGTAACAAGCAGGATAGATAAAGAGGAAGCAGTGGATGTAATATATTTCAGTTCTCAGAATGTGTTTGATAAGGCGCCACATATTAGGCAACTTAATGAGTTAAGTGCCTATGGTGTTGGAGGTAGTATATTAGGATGGATAGAAGATTGACTAATAGAAGACAAAGAGTGGGGTGCCTTTTCAGGATGGTAACCTCTAACTATTGATGTGCTACAAGAATCAATGCTTGGGCCACAATTATTTACAGTATAAATTACTTCATTGAGAAAGATGAAAGTACTATAGCCAAGTTTGTGGATGACACAAAAATAGATAGGAAAGCAAATGGTGAGGATGATATACAGTATGCAGAGGGAGAAGTGAGTGGGCAAAGACTCAGCAGATGGAATATAATGTGGAGAAATGTCAGGTTATGCATTTTGGTAGGAAGAATAGAAGAGCTGAATGTTATTTAAATGGAAAAAGACTGCAGAAAGCTACAGAGTAAAGAAATTTGATAGTCTTCACCCTTGAATCAGAAAAACTGACATCCAAGTTCAGCAGGCAATAGAAAATTGAATATTTGCCTTTATTTCAAATGGACTGCAGTATAAAAACAAGGGCAGTCTTTCTAAAATTATACAATGGACTATTCAGACAATACTTGGAAGGCCATGATCAGTATTGATCCCCTTATCTGAGGAAAAATATACCTGCATTGGAGGCAGTCCATAACAAGTTGACTAGGCTGATCCCAGTTTAGAGGGATTTTCTTATAAGGAGAGGTTGAGTAGGTTGGGCATGTACTCATTGGGATTAAGAAGAATGAGAGGTGTGTGGAGAACAGATCAGCTTATAGTGTTGAAAAGGGAAACAAATCCATTTACAGTTCTCATTTACTGTACAGTATTATTGCTTTCCTGGTGGAGTTATGGTGACCTGATCAGGAAATAGTTGCTGGAGAGACTGCCATCTGTTTCTGAAAGATTTCAGTTTAAACCCAAGTAGTCACCAAAGGTTTTATAACAATAAAATGTGTTTTTAGTGTACCAATAGCAATCTAACATCAGTATACATATAAAAATGCCAAATGTATGCATATATAAAAACACCAGATCAATATGAGTCTACTGCAGTTGACAAAATTTACAGCTTTAGGGATTATAGTTAGTGATCCATCCTTTCCAATAGTTCATAACATATTTTTGAACCAATCTGATGCATTTTCATCAGAGGCAGAGTTACAGTTTCCACGTGATGTTTTCAGATTTTCTGAATGGTACATATTTATACTTGGCATTTATTATTTTTATTTTAAATGAGTAAACCACTGACATTGGAATAATTCTGATGGGATATTCTCAGTTTCCAATATTTCCAAACTAAAATATTCAAATGGTTAATGTCAACAATTTGTTTTCTTGAACTGTGATGAATTTTACCTTAATGGGTATAACTGTGGATGCAAAGACACTTCTGTTATCTTTTCATCACTAACCTGGTAATACATTGTAGTTGGTTTCAGTTTCATCAACACCTATGTATGAATCCAGGAAGGTTGCAGTGCTTTCATCTGCATTAATGTTTGGAACTTTTGCAGGGGAGAATGAACGTCTAGGTTTGGATTGTCTGGCTGGATTGCGATTCACAATGCCAACTTGTTGTTGTTTTTGAGAGTGGAGCTGCCTCCTCTGACCCCTGTTGGTTGCCTTAATTTCCCTCTTACCAATTATATCACAAAAGTTGAGAAGTAGGAAGAACAAAACAAAATTGTTTACATTCATTATTTTTCTTTAGGTATCACCTGTAAAAAGAAGTGAAAACAAGAACATAAATTTCATGAATTTTATTCCCCAAGTTTCTACAGATAATAAAATTAATATTTTACAGCTTCAAAATGTATTCATTTTGATCTAAATTAACCTTCAGAATGGTAATTTAATTTGCATGTTCATATAAGTAGCAGTTTATATATTATTGAAGAAGTGAACTATGGAGTATTCGTCAAGGAACTACCTGTTTGGGTTAAACTGAATAATATAACCATTTCCTGTAACCAGTAGAAATTTTTTATATCAATGTGGAAAATATGCTCATTGAGTTATGCTCAAAATAATTGCAGCTCATGAGACATGAAAAACATTTATCTGATAGTTAGCTTGGCAATGTCTTTATATTACACTCAATACCTGCTAAGTAATCAGTTCTATTTTACAGTCACTAACAAGCTGAAAAGTGGGATTTAGGCAACATTTAAGTGGAAGAATGACACCAGGCAGACTACTGTGAGATTTGCCAGAGAAGAAAGAATAATAACCAGGTCTTCTATTTATAGTCCTTCTGCGTATGACTTTTGCCTTGCTGTGATTGATCATCCAGCCATAGAGAGCATTCAGCACTGATTCATCAAACTGATTAAAAAAAAAGGGAAAGTATATGAACGAGAACCTTGAGAAATTAGGACTAACGCTAAAGGGAATTTCATAAAACTTTTTAAACTATCAAGCACTTTCATAGAGTTAATAAAGTAAGCCTGTTTCCACTAATAATTTGTCTTTACTTTTATGATTCTCAATGCATCATGGATTTTAAGTTATCTAAGAGATTGAGAAGATAAATTATGAGAAGTTTCTTTAAAAAATTAAGCAAGGAATACTGAGGTAGTGCCTATTGCTTTTTAGGGAGCAAAAGTTAGGAGCAGTAAACATTACAAGACAATAAGCTGATACCGGCACAATGAGTCAAGAAGCCTTCTTCCATATTATGAACCTCTGTGGTTCATTATGTAGACTTTCTGATGAAAAATAACACAAATGTCAAATGAGAGAAAAGGAAGCTGGAAGTTGCACAAATCCTATTCATGAAGTGCCCATGCATTGGAATGTATGCGATTTATGTCAGATTTTACAGTAAAACAAAAGTAATTTGTTCCAACAGATCTACACTAGTGAATTATCTAGAGCAGCTGTTCAAATGTAAAATAATTTAAATAATGATTGCAAAACTTAATACTTAGACATTGCATGAGGATAACAAAATGGAAAAAATTAATCTGCAGAAAGAGTTCTTGATTTGCATGTAAGCTGGGGTAGTACTGACTTTTGAGTCAGAAAGTTCTGGGTTCAAGTCCCACCCTAGGACTTGAGATCAAAGTACATGACATTCTAGTTCTGTACTATTGGAGGAGCCATTTTTCAGATGTGACGTCAAACCTGGGGCCCATCCGTCTCCTCGCATGGAACTAAAAAATTCTTTGATAGTATTTGAAAAAGAGCTTGATGTCCTGTCAGCATTTATCCCTCAATCAACATCACAAAAAAGTTTATCTGATCTATATTATAATTTGGAAATATGCGTCATGCAAATTAATTTCCAAGTTTCCTCTTTTCAACATATTTCAAAATTATTGTGGCAATGTTAAATGAATGGTTGTAGACTATAGCACAGTATACCAACAGGGATCTGTTGATATGGGTATCAAAATCATCAGCGCAGTATGCAAACTTGCAAAAGAAAGCAAACAAACTGTTCGTATAACTGGAGGCAAAGTACGTAAAGTTAATGTACTGACAGCTTGATAGAGCACCGATTCAGCACTAGCTAAATACCTGAGTATTTAGTTCCAGTCACTTCACTATGATTGGGACATTGAAAAGATACAAAGGAAGTCAACAAATCTGATATTAGAGGGAGTCAGAGGCTGAGACGATTGATCCCAGGGATGAACAGCTTGTCATATGAGGAGAAGTTGAGACTGTAGGTCTGTACTCCATGGAATTTAGAAGGGTGAGGGGGTATCTGATTGAAACTTACAGGATACTGAGAGGTCTGGATCGAGTGGACGTGGAGAACATATTTCTACTTGTAGAACCCAAGGGCACGGAGTCAGAGTGAAGGGACAACCTTTTAGAACTGAGATGAGGAGGAATTTCTTCATCCAGAGGGTGGTTAATCAGTGAAACTGATTGCTGCAACGGGTTGTGGAGGCCAAGTCATGGAGTTCGTAGAATCCCCTCAGTGTGGAAACAGGCCATTCAGCCCAACAAGTCATTGAGTGTATTTAAAACAGAGATAGATAGGTTCTTGATTGGTAAGGGGATCAAGAGTTATGGGGAGCAGGCAGGAGAATGGGTAGAGAAACATATCAGTCATGATCGAATGGTGGAGCAGACTCAATAGTCTGAATGAGCTAATTCTGCTCCTAAATCTTATGGTCTTTTAGTCTTGTATTAGGCATTATGCACTTGAGTTTAAAAGGCTAATAAGGCTGGAAAAAGGCTAAGACTGGGCCAGTTTACACAAGAGAAAAAATGATTGTGAGATTATATTGTAGCTTTGAACATTCTTAAGGGACACAGTTAAAATTAAATTCAGTAATTACAAACCCTAGCCAGAGGGCACAGTCTCAAGTCCATAACGGGAAATGTTTATGCCTAGGTACTTTGTATTGTTGGTATTGAACAATCAGAGCACTGATGACAGAAAAATTCAACAGAATTTTTTTTCCCAAAAATTGAAATTATGAGAATATAATGTGTAAGGTAATGGATATGAAAAGTTCAATCTGAAGTCCTGTTCACTCTGATGTATAATAGAGCCACTGGATGGAGATTCAAGCAGTCATGGGGAGTCTTAAGAAGTCTTGGGAAGTTCTAGACAGTTGTAGTCTTCTGTTCTTCATGCCGCCATCAGTTTAATGTAACTTGTGCTTAGCGTTACCTTTCATCACGGTTGCACACTAGAAATTAAGGCCCACTATTCCCTGAGTCATCACAAAAGTTTTTTAGAAGTTCGCAGCATACCTTTCTTTTAGACTAGGTTGATAGAAGTAATAGATCAGGTTTCTGCACTTGACTATAATTATTATTTATTACAAATAAATAGTTCTTGCTAAAGGTAAACAGTTCCATCAATGTATAACCCTGCTAGTTATAACTAACCACCTTTTAAACTCCCCCTCTACATTCTTATATAGACCAACACAGACAGGGAAAGAGACTTGGGTGCTATGGGTGGAGGTAAAAGACTGGGAAGGCAGTTCAATAGTCCCTGTTCACAGAGTCCACTGAGATGGTCCTTTAGACAGGACATCCTTGATATTCCGCCTTCAGATACTTCCATTTGCTGGTAAAAAGTATAGGGTAGTTGGTTCACAGTTATAAAGTTGTTTGACTCATCAATTAAAATCACAGTTTACGGCAACTGAAAAGATGAAATAATCTGGTTGACTTCAGGCTTTTTGCTGCAGACCAAAAACAACAACTCCTCCAGAGGTCAAAGGGCTTCTGTGAAAATCTGCATACCCTCATACCATTTATCATCAATAACTGGTCACGAATCCACAAACTGATCAGCTCCTTGTTGTTGACAAAGCTGCGTTCGTACACACCCCTTGGCTCCAGCTCTTCGTCAAACTAGTTTTCCACTACTGCTTGAACAAGCAGCTGTGTAAACAGTATTTACAATGAGTGCCAGGTTACTTGTATTTAAAAAGTGCCGCAATCCTTCAATAATCTTTGATTCTTAAAACAGTTTTTTTTCCCTATTTCAGACCACAATCAAAAATGCAGAAAAATAAAAAAAGATACAGCCTTTATAATGGCTTCTATGATGTAATAAACCTTAACTTGTTACCTAAGGTTAGCGCCTTTTCTGCTAAGATTTATACATGGTTGATCTTTGACAATAAACTAGTAGAAAACCCCTGGACAAGCCTCAGAAGAAAGTTTGATGGCAGTATTCTATCTAAGGTATCCAAGTGTTATCGTCAATATAACATGGTGAACAGCAGTATGGATCTGACTCCCAACACAAAGAAACTAACAGTGAGAAGAATCCAAGTAGAAAGGCACAGAGAAAGTGCACAGACCTTTAAAAAAGGAAGAGCTAGTTAGTCAGCAGCTGAAAAGCATTTCAACGGAGATCAATCAGCACAAGCTTTTGGAATCTAAATCAACGAGCAGCCACACTCTGGGTCTGTCCTGCCTGTTGCAACAGACGTACCCAAGGATGATGATGATGATAATGATGATGATGTTGTCTTGGATGTTGTGTATAAGTTACGATTCCAAGAGCATAACTGTACCGGGCTGTTACTTGACTAGTTTGTGAGAATGCTTTGCCAATTTTGGCACTAGTTTCCAAATGTTAGTGAGAAGGGCTTCGCAGAGTCAACAGGGCTATGTTTGTCGTTGTCATTTCCAGTGCCTTATTAGTCAGTGGGTGGTGCTCTGTCCAGTTTAATTCATTTTTTTCACTTTAATGCGGCTGAAACAATTGAATGGCATGCTGGGTCATTTCAAAGGCAGTTAAGAGTCAACCACATTGCTGTGGCTGTCGAGTCACATTGAGGCCACACCAAGTAAGGGTGGCAGTTTCCTTTCCTATAGAACATTAATTAACCAGGTGGGTTTTTACAATTTTCAGTTTCAATTTAATCGTCATCATTAGACCTTTAATTCCAATTTTTTATTGAATACACATTCCATCATCTGTCATGGTGAGATTTGAGCCCAGGTCCCCAGAACTATAAAGGACGAAGTCTAGTGCTGAGACAAATGTGCTAGCACTGCCTTCTTCATACTGCAACAATAGGCCTTTGATAAAAGGGATCTTTGGAAGTCACCAAAGGCCCTAGTCTGTAAATCTGTTGTATTGACCACCCTCCTCTACTGCAGCAAAACCTGGACCATCTACTGACATCCAGTAAGATCCTTGAGAGTTTTCAACAGCAAATCCTACAATGAATTCTGGGGATCAATGGGAGGACCACCAGACTAAGACAAGCATCCTCCATGAAGTTGCAGGTACTGGAATTGTTGTCCTGCTCCAAGTCCAATAGACAGGCTATTGCATCTGGACAGACAAAAATCGCCTACCTCATTATGTTCTCATCTCCCATGGCCAACACTCAAAAGGATAACCAAAGGAAATGTGTAAAGATACGCTCAAGATCGATCTAAAGCAGACACATTGACACCACTGACAGGGAGGAGAAAACAGATGTCGCAAGCCATTTCGAGGCTCAGCAACTGAAGTGTTAGTTGGAACAATGATGGCAGAGGAAGGTAGAAACCAGAGCTTTAGGTTTCATTTGCCCATTAAACAATGTGGCCCCACTAGAAGAAGAAAATGTGGACCCAAAATTGGGCTTCATAGTCATCTGAGGACTTATCCAACCTGATAAACGTCATCCTTGAATCTGAGGGACTGACGATGATGATGTTATCTAGAGCCAACAAAGCTCATTCTTAAGTAAAGATGTGCATTTTGTCCTCATTATCTTGCAATTCATTGACGTAGTTCAACCACTTCATTTGAAAACTAACATTGGCCAATCTAGAAAAACATAACCAGTGGAAGATGTCACAGACCTTGCAAGATTAATGAATGAACCTAAGAAAAAGATTCAACCAAGGGAAATTACATACTTGAGTCAGAGATTTATTTCCCACTATCAGTATGGAAGAAGCCCACAGATTTCAAAACTGCAGAAAATCTCTTCCATCACTGATACCACTGAAGAGTCCTCAGAGGTTAACTATCAGCAAGACTTGATACTAAACTAAATACTGCTCGTGCTTTTGAGCAATGCAATCTATCTGAAATCATTGGTGAACTTTAAATTGAACTAGAATGACAGCACATCAGTCTCCTACACACACTCTGATGATGCAGTACAGTAAGTACCACTGATGGCTGGACAGCTGGTTTGTGATGCAGAGTTCAATTCCCACACTGGCTGAGGCTACCATGAAGAATTCCCCTTCTCAACTTCTTCCCTCGCTTGAGGCATGGAGACCCTCCTTGGTTAAACAACCAGTCATCTCTCTAATGGGAGAGCAGCCCTATGTCACAAAGCATTCATGTTACGATGGGTGCAACCCAAATTTATTTGGAGCTCAATGATCCGTTACTACTGGGTGGCATGGTGGCTCAGTGGTTAGCACTGCTGCCTCACAGCACCAGGGACCCGGGTTCAATTCCACCCTCAGGCGACCGTCTGTGTGGACTTTGCACATTCTCCCCGTGTCTGTGTGGGTTTCTTCCAGCTGCTCCGATTTCCTCCCACAGTCCAAAGATGTGCAGGCTAGGTGGATTGGCCATGCTAAATTGCCCATAGTGTCCAGGGATATGCGAGCTCGGTGGACTAGCCATGGTAAATACAGGGTTACAGGGATAGGGTTGAGTCTGGGTGGGATGGTCTTCGGAGGGTTGGTGTGGACTCGATGCCTGCTTCCACACTGTAGGGATTCTGTGATTCTATGGTCTGGTAAAGTTTACCGGATTACTTTGTGCCTGGTACTTTGTGCCGTAATGCACGTAACTCGGTGGAACATTGGCAGGGTCTTGTGTTAATTCCTTTTCAGGTTTTCATCCCTACTTTACCTGCAAATGAATCTTTTCTATCTCAACCTTAAATAGATCTCCCTATGTGATGACTTCATTCCCACACATTGCAGTGGTGCCCGCTACAAGTGCCAGTTTTGCCTATATGTGTCACTTTCTAAGGGGCTATTAAGGATGGGCAAGTGACATCCAATCCCCATGAAGAAATTTGAAGATATCTGTAACAAAATGAGCTTTAATCCATGTATGCATAAAATGGAAAGGATGTAATATTCTAACTCAGAAAAGGGTTTCTTTACAAAAGTATGCCCCCAAGCTTTGCTTCCTGAAAACAGGTACAGAAATAATACAGGACTACGCAAAATAAGATATGATCTTATTTCTGCTAGGAATTGTTGCCTTCCTCATTAATTGGTCGAAGTACACGGAGGCTTTGACAAGTCAGTAAATGGAACTCCTAGGTAATGTGTCAGCAGTTCATCATATAATTATTTTGGGCACTATACTATTGATTCTGCAGCTTGTATGACCACTTCTGTGATCATCTCTGGATGAACAAGAGACCACGGCAAGTGGGGTTTGAAGTGGTCAGGTCTCGTATCAACTGCTGCTGTGCAGCAGCTAAACAGATGATTGTGGCTTGCTTCGTGACCTCCCGTTGGATTTCTTTCTATCTCAGAACATTCATGCAAACCTAAGAGGAGACCATTGGAAAGTCAGGAATATCTTAATTTTGCTGCAACCCTCTTGGCCGAGCATGGGCTCTGCACCTTCCTGATGAATTCTGCTAAGTGCATAAACCCTCTCACTGCTCTGTCAGAATGTGACTGCCTCAGTGGATTCAACTTGGGTGGGATCAGAGTGTGCTCCAAGGAAGACCTTGCTAGTTTCTGCACATTCCAATGCTGTTCAGCTTACTTCAGTATCAACTGATCAGACGATTTGGGGTCTTCCAGCATTCAATACTTTAGTCATTGCTGATGAAGAACTGTCCGTAAACCCTGCCAATGCGTGTCTGGCTTTGGCATAGGCCACTTCCATAGAACTCTTATTCACATTCTTTTGTGCACAGTAGATGTACTCACCTTCACGGCTAGGGTTAGATGGTACCTAGGAGATAGAACATCCATTGAGGAATAGGAAAAAAATCCTTAGAATTGCCATCTCCAGTAGGATGCATTCTAGCCAATGTGAATTATACAAAGTAAATATTATGTCCCACATGGGATTTATGAGCTTCAATCCTATGTACGTTATGGTGTGTAAAAAGAACAAATGGAGCATATTAAATATGCCTGGTCAATTGTCCATGTCTGACCATTCTGGATGGCAGTCTGAGCGATGATAAGGGACAGTACTTTTGATCCTGGAGGACCCAACTTGATACCTGTTGGACATGCCCACAGGGATGTGACACCACTCCAATCAGCACATGTTGCCTTCCTACTTACCTTGGCAATCTATTCACTGGCCAAATGGTGCAGAGACCAAACCTGACATGACCACTGGTATGCAGGGCCTTCATTCATCTTCCTTCCCACATCGAGGACAAACTAATTCTTAGCAATCAGGAACAAAATGCTGCTGTGACAGTATATCCATTGTTGTCAATATTCCTAATTAAGAGTCACTAACAAATATATTTATTTGACTGACTGGCCCAATTCCCACGGAAACAATGACTTTTCAGAAGTCATTTTGACAATCATAGTCCAAAATTGTGTCGTGCCTGAATATAAGAGGTTCATTTTCTCCTCCCAGAATGATGACTGGAACCAGTTCAACAGCTTGTTGAAGAGATCCAGAATTTCTACACTGATTTTGTTCCCTGTAGCTCTGGATTGTCACGGAGAAGTTGATCCTTCTTCACCACTGCAGTGGGTTGGTTGGTTAGTCTGGCTACTGAGATTCTTCCTCAATCCTGTTACGCATTATCAAGAAGCTCATACACAATAGTCTTTTGTCCAGACAGGGAAATAAAATATTCTAGACTCCCTGGGCCTGAAATTCGCTACCATTCTGCCCTTCAACACCCTCCACCGCAACCAACAGATAATCCCAGATTAGCCATTTTAAGTGGTAGGAAGAGGTATTGTTTAGTTTCTGGAAGAAAATGTCTGGCGATATAATTCAGCTGAGCTGTCCGTCTATTTCCAGCTGGTGCTCCCATTAGTAACTGAATAACTACTTCCAGTTTGCAATTATTGACTTAAACATTAATGTTTAAAACAACCATTGCAAAAAAAGATTAAAAAAAAGGAATGAACTTACCAGCTCCCCCTCCCACCAGACAGGCACATTCTTTGTACACTCACTTGGAGCGTATTTGAAAGAATTTGTTTTTTCAGAATAGTCTGGCTTATTCCCTGAGTATGTAACAGCCTGGGTCCCTAGGGTAAACGAGTGTTGGTTGTAATAAAGAATCAAAGACAGGCTTCCTGAAGAAACAAAAAGCTTGCTTGGAGGATGGAAAGTTATGATTCAGTGGTCCTTGGGATAGCAAGGCTCAGCTGGGAAACTCCTAAAAATGCAACAGCTATTGTAAACATTACATTTTTTTATTCTGATGAGGTACGTAATTATGCTACATTATACAGCAGACCTAATATAAAGCATATTTAATTGTCAGCTGACATGATTTTATGGTGGCTTGGGAAAAAGCCTTTTAGAAAATGTGTATAAATCCAACTTTGTTTTTTTAAAGTTATATTTGTAATCCTGCTCCAGCAGAAAAAAATGAAATGGAACAATGTGAAACTTCAGGGAAATCAAACAAAAGCCACAACTCTTGTAGGAGAATCTTAATTGCTTTAGTTTTAAATTCCTTTTTGCAAGTACTAAAGTTGGACCATAGTGTAAAAACAAAAGAAGTGGGGAAATTGTTGCACTAACTCACACTTCCTGAAACTTGATACTATCAAGTAGTTTGGGAACACTGAACAACAGGCAGTTTATAGAAAGAAATAAAGCATTTTAGACACTGAAGAAATACATTACCACAACTCTTTAGTTCTTTTGTGAAGCCAAGTTCTTCTTGCAGTCTTTGTTATCTTTAGCCTAATCAAAACCAAGAATGAACTAAACATCTGAAGATTTTCAGCACTGACAAATGTTAAAAAGCTGATGGGCTGCACATTTTTAAAGTGAGGATTGCCTAAGTAACTTTAAAGTTACTATTAAGGAAAAACAAATTTAGAGACGATGTCTAGGTAAGCTTGCGGGGAAGTACAAGAATGCAATTATTGCTTAATTGTTAGGCATTGAACATCTGGGACAGAGCTATTAAACATGCCGCTACCTGTGTTAAACAATGTTAATCACCTTTAATCAAAGAGTGCTTAAATAATAGGTGTAGGATGGTGATCACATAAATCAAAACAATCCCTTTCTCCACAGATTCTGCTAGCCCTGCTGAGTTTCTCCAGCAATTTCTGTTTTTAAAATACTCCCTTATGTGGTTAAAAACTAAAAATTCCAGTAAATTTGATGTTTTCTTATTTAGTTCAGTTAAAACAAAAAAAGTCAACTAGTGAGTGAGTAGCTGAAGCTTTTTCTCCATAGATCTCTACCAAGTTTTCCTTTTCAGATATATAACCAATTACCTGAAATTAGCAGAGTTCAGTTGTGAAATGTGCCTTGATCCAATTTGGCAATTTAAAGCAAAATAAAAGCTGACTAATTTAGAGTCAGAAGAATCTTTCTAGCCCCATTTAGGCGGTTGATTCCTAGTTGAAAGGGTACATTTGAGCCATATGAATCAGTGAAAATGATGTGCCTCGGTTGGGCAGTTTCTGGATTTAATTGGACTGTTTGAATAAACCAAAAGGAAAATGTTCCATTTGGATATAAAAATAGAGTAATTGATATACCTTTTTAAAAGTCCTATGGTTGGCATTGAAATCAGTTCTGTGCAGTCACATTAAGCAAATGAGTAGTAATTAAGCAGAGATAGTAGGAACTGCAGATGCTGGAGAATCCGAGACAACAAGGTGCAGGGCTGGATGAACACAGCAGGCCAAGCAGCATCAGAGGAGCAGGAAGGCTGACGTTTCGGGCCTAGACCCTTCATCAGAAAAGGGGGAGGGGAAGGGGGTTCTGAAATAAATAGGGAGAGAGTGGGAGGCGGATAGAAGATGGATAGGTGGAGAGGAAACAAACACGTCGAAGAGGCGGGGATGGAGCCAGTAAAGGTGAGTGTAGGTGGGGAGTTAGGGAGGGGATAGGTCAGTCCAGGGAGGACGGACAGGTCAAGGGGGCGGGATGAGGTTGGTCGGTGGGAGATGGAGGTGCAGCTTGAGGTGGGAGGAGGGGATAGGTGGGAGGAAGAACAGGTTAGGGAGGCAGGGACGAGCTGGACTGGTTTTGGGATGCGGTAGGGGGAGGGGAGATTTTGAAACTTGTGAAATCCACATTGATACCATTGGGCTGCAGGGTTCCCAAGCGGAATATGAGTTGCTGTTCCTGCAACCTTCGGGTGGCATCATTGTGGCACTGCAGGAGGCCCAGGATGGACATGTCGTCTGAGGAATGGGAGGGGGAGTTGAAATGGTTCGCGACTGGGAGGTGCAGTTGTTTAATTAAGCAGCCTGCTTTAGAACTTGCTCAGTTTTCCTTTCCATAATTTGTTTTTGCCTATTTTGCATTATTACTCAAGACTAGTTTCAACCCTATTGAAGCATATTTGTGTGGGAAGTTTGTAATTTGCAGTAAGCAGTGTAAACACTGCTCCTTTCACAATCTTAGGGTTGAAAATTTCACTCAAAAATATTTCAAACAGCAACAACTTCTATCTACATCGCGTCTTTAAGGTAAAAAAACAAATCAATCTGACCTTTATAATTCAGTTGCCTCACACACCTAGATTTTTCAGTGCATAGTGACTTTAATTTTTTTTGAAGCAGCCATGCATATGTGCAGCTTAGTGGGAACATTAGTTCCAGCTGTTCTTCACAGACAGTAAACCAGTGCTGAGTCAAGAAATGAAAAACTTGGTGGCTAAAAGCCTGATCAAAGAGATAGGTAATGGCAAATGCCAGTCCTTAATACCTATCATGTGGAAGGACCATGAAAGCAATGAGGAGGGAACAAACAGCTGTGTTTCCAAACTCGAAGCATTCTGCAAACCACCACAGCAGTTGAGAGTTTCCAAGATCATATAATCGAGGAGGTGGCCACTCCACAGGCAGAGACAATTCTGGATAGAAGATGGGTGACCATATGAAAGAGTGGGAAGAGGCAGGAAATGCTGGAGATATCAAGGTACTTCCATTCTTAGGCTGATACTCAGCATTGCAGATAGCAAAGAGTGAACTCATCTTGAAGGAATGTAATCCAGATCATAGTACTAATGGGCAAGGCATTACCGCAAAGGGTGGGGACTACAAAATGTGTGAATACAATCTTTTTAGGCAAAACTATGGTTAAGGAGATGGACAGATGTTTCTGTAACCATCTTGATTAATCCTACATAGTGTGTTGCCTCCCTGTGCCTGAGCGTAGGTCATCACAGAGAGAGCACAGAATATTCTGCAGGGGATGCCAGTAAATCAGAAGTTGTGGCACACGCTGGTATTGAGAGGACAAACATTGAGGTTTTGCAGTCAGACTTTTAGAACTTCGGGAGGAAGTTTAAAAAGTAGAAGTTCAAAGGTAGTAATATCTGGATTACTCCTAGTGCCTCATGCCAATGGGAACTGAAATAGGCCGATCAAGAGAATCAATGCATGACTTTAAGTGTGATACAAGAGGGAGAGCTAACATATTCCTGAGCACTTGAGACCAGCAATAATGTATGGGTTGCACCACAACAGGATTAGAAGCAATAACAGTTCACCCAAGTGGTTGGGGAGAATTTTGTCTAAATTGGTAGGGGCTTAGGCACCATGGAAAAGAAATAGAAAAGAGGTACATAGTGCACAAAGGCATGAGTGTTGGATAGTAATGGAAAAGGAAGTCCTACCATATTCAATATAAGACGACCAGGAAGTGTAAGAATGAATGCAAGGACAGGTTCAGAATTCATGTGTGTGAATTCAAATAGTTTCATTGGGAATGGGTCAATAATAGAAATGCCGCTTAAAAATAATGAGATATAAAGTGTTCAGAAAAGTCAAGGAAAGAAGAAAAGAAGTTGGGGTGGCACTACTAAAGAGCAAAGGCATTGTAATTGGAAAAAGAGAATGTCTCTTGAGGGCAAAATAATCCATTTGGGTCAGAGTTGAGAAGCACAAGGTGGATGAGCACACTCCTGGAAATATTCAATAGACCACCAAATAATGAGAAAGAGAAGGAGGCACAAATCTGGAGGGAAGTCATAGAGATGCGCTAGAAATATACAGTAGCAATATTGGGGACTGTAGTTTTCTAAATAAATAAATAATATTAAAGTAAAGCAAAAGGACGAAATGGAACTTCTGAAATGTTTTCAAACAGCCTTCCTTAACCAGTATGTTCTTGTTCCAGTTAGGAAATAGGCATTGCTGAATAAGGTGCTGGAGAATGAGGTAGACCAGGTAGACAAAATATCTGTTGAAGAAGACATGGCAAATGTAATCAGCACATCAGAAGGTTTAGATTAGTAATGAGGAAGAAAAATAACAATCTAAAGTAGAACTTCTAAATTTGTAAAGGGCTAAATTTAATGGGATATTTGGGTATCTAACCAGGATAAAATATAGTCAAGGTTTGACAGGAAAAACTGTAACAGAATAATAGGTTCCTTTTAAGGAAGAGATGTTTCAGATACAAGCTAGGTATGTTCCAGTAAAACGGCAAGGCATGCGAACTAAAAACCTCCTTAGATCAAGAGGGAGATGGAGAATATTCATGAGTGCTCTGACTGACGATGTGTTCCGACCTCTCTATCAATTGATGCTTCATTGTGAGCCGTTTTTTTTGGCTGTTGTTGTCAGTCTGTAGTGGTTTGCCATTCCCTTTCACTCTCAGGGCAGGGCATAGAGACAGATCCTAAGTTTACCTGAGGAATGGGAGACAAATCCATGCTGTTACCATTACTCCATAACATATATTGATCAACTCCCATAGAGAAAATGATGAAGCAAAAAGAGGATATCTGATGAATCCTTCAACTAAGAACCAGGCCAATACAATAAATTCAGAGGAGAAGAGGAAAACAAAGACAGGCAGAGAGATTAAGGAAATGGAATGGCAGTTAACATAAAAGGTAACCCAAAAATCTTCCAAAAGCATGTAAATACTAAGTAGGTAATAAGAAGCAGGGTGGATCATATTCTGGGTAAGAAAGGTGATGTATGTTTTGAAGCATATGGCATTGACAAAATATTGGTAGAAGCCAAGATAGTATAGGCCATGAATGGGTGAAAATTGATAGGCAAAACATACTCAAAAGGCTATCTATGCTTAGAATCGATAAGTCATCTGATCCAGATCGCTTGTCTCCCAGGTTGCTGAAGGAAGTGGGGATGGATATCTAGCTAAAAGGTCTAAAATGGATTAAGAAAATGTATCAGGAATTTTTTAAAAAATGCTGGATTCAAGAGATAGTAGGAACTACAGATGCTGGAGAAGCTGAGATAACAAGGTGTAGAGCTGGGTGAACACAGCAGGCCAAGCAGCATCAGAGGAGCAGGAAGGCTGACGTTTCGGGCCTAGACCCTTCTTCAGAAATGGGGGACAGAGAGGCCGCAGAGGGACCGCTTTGCAGAACACCTACGCTCGGTTCGCACTAAACAACTGCACCTCCCAGTCGCGAACCATTTCAACTCCCCCTCCCATTCAGCAGACGATGTGTCCATCCTGGGCCTCCTGCAGTGCCACAACGATGCTACCCGAAGGTTGCAGGAACAGCAACCCATATTCCGCTTGGGAACCCTGCAGCCCGACGGCATCAATGTGGATTTCACAAGCTTCAAAATCTCCCCTCCCCCTACCGCATCCCAAAACCAGCCCAGCTTGTCCCCGCCTCCCTAACCTGTCCTTCCTCCCACCTATCCCCTCCTCCCACCTCAAGCCCCACCCCCATCTCCTACCTACTAACCTCATCCCGCCCCCTTGACCTGTCCGTCCTCCCTGGACTGACCTATCTCCTCCCTACCTCTCCACCTACACTCACCTTTACTGGCTCCATCCCCGCCTCTTTGACCGGTCTGTCTCCTCTCCACCTATCTTCTCCTCTATCCATCTTCCATCCGCCTCCCCCTCTCTCCCTATTTATTTCAGAACCCCCTTCCCCTCCCCCATTTCTGAAGAAGGGTCTAGGCCCGAAACGTCAGCCTTCCTGCTCCTC